AAGGACTTGCAGCCTCCCCCGCCGCCCCCTGCCCCCGGTTCCCCTGAAGAAGAGCACTCACTAACGCATGCAGGGTTGTAAAGCCCACAGATTGTGTTGCTTCAGTGTGAAACAATGTTCAAGAAAAATTGGTCTAAACCTCAAGCAAGCCATAGATGATGCAGGTCTCAGGTTACTCACCTCCGAGCGAGCCGGGGGCCGTGACGCAGCACAGCCTGAGCCAAACCGCTGATCTGGGGCAGGCCTGTCTGCCCCACGCTGGGGGCCAGGGCCTACGCAGCCTTTCCAGCAGGCACAGGTGAGGGATAATACTGTTCTGTTGTGCATTTGAAGGCAGGATGCTGCAGCAGAGGCCCTGCCAGCGCAGCCATCCAGCAACACACAAACGTTGAGGAAATCCCTAAAACCTGTGCTTATCACCGGCCAACTCGGTGTGGTGAAGTCCTTTATGCAGTGACGAGCAGGTAGAACAAGTTCACCCTGAGCACACCATCCCTTTAAACAGCCCTGGGGAAACTGACTTGCCACAAGAGACAGGACGGACAGGGTAACTAATAAACAGCTGTGCACTGTTTATTCGCAGGTTATCACAGGACTGTAACCAAGTGAAGTATCAAATCAGGATATGTGATTGATCTGTGCTATAGTCCAGCCTGTGCTATGTGATTCACACTTGGTCAGGCTTTTGATGATACGTGATAAATTCTACCAGCTCTTTGCATCCTGATCTTTACCCTACTTTGGTCAGTCACAGTCATTATGATCAGTAATCCTGCTTGATCAGGTCACGAAGGTTAGGTCACCATGCCCTGGCCACCTCCCCCAGCCGAGGGGTCTGTCATTATAGCACTTTCCTGATCAGAGACCACTCCAAAATGGGTTTCAAAAAATAGAAATAAGATTAAAAGGCCTGACAATTGAAAAACCATTAGAATTACTGAGAATTTGGTAATATGTCAAATTCTTTCTTTTTTTTAAGGACTTTCTACATACCAACAGCAGCCAGTTAGAAAAGAGTATGGGGGAGGATATACGATCCATTTCATTTCAAAAATAGAAATTACTACCTAAAACTGAACATGAAAAAATTGCAAACAAATAGTATTAAAGCAACCGGTCAAGATTTGGGGAAAATAATAATAATAAATAAGATCTAACAAAGACAAGACACGCAACCATAAAACTATGAGGAGAAAATGCCAGCGCGTATTTACAGCATCCTGGAACAGGATGAGAATCCTGTGTCGCCCCTGCTGGGGTGCTGCTCCACAGCCCCCGCGGCTCTCGGCTCAGAAGCAGCGCCTCCTCCCCTGCCCACCCCTGGGATCCGGGGTCTCCCGGGTGCACTGCCTCCCACTGAGCCTAGGAAGCCAGTAAGGTTTACCCAGCAGGGTCCCTCCCTGACCCCAGCCCTGGGGGGCGGAACGTCCTGGGCAGGAGGAAAGGCCAGCTTCCCACCAGGAAGCCTCACTAGGCAAGCTCTTCTGGCACCTGCCTGAGGAGGGCTCAGAAGGGAAAAGGGGACTTGACTCTCCAGAACGTCAGGGATATCTTGTGATTGCTTTTCTCATTATAAAATAAATACACACTTTTGTACCTAATTCTGTAATTCAAAATTTTGCGGTTTCTTTTAATTAAAAAGAAAACCAAAATTGCATAGGCGTCAAGCCCCACAAAACCTGGACCCATCTCTGCTCGCACACTTTCCGCTGCTGCCCAGCACTTGCAAATTCTACCCACTTCACCATAAAGGAGGAGGTGCACGGTAAGTATCCATCTCATAACTATACATTCAGAACATGTCCATTTATTTAAAGGCACAACCTTTGAAATTTGACAGACCCCTCTTAGCCAAAATTCCCTTTTCTATGAAATGAGGATTATAATACCTTGAAAATTAGGAAGACTGGATGAGATTAGGTATTAAAAATGCTAAAAACTGTACCTAATACAAGACAGTAAAAATTTAACAGGAAGAAAATATATGTTTATATCTGTTTATATGTTTTTATGTTTACATGTTTAAAGTGGTTATTTCCGGGTGGCAAGATGACAAGTTTTTCTTTATTTTCTTTTGTCTATTGGTGTTTTCTGATTTTTCTTTACTTTTTTGTTTGTTCATATTTCCTAATCTATCAGCAATAAGGATATGTTATGTGAGAAAAAAAAAGGAAAAAAAGTTTTGGGGGAAGGTGATCCTCATTAGTATTAACTAGTTCTTAGCTGTAAAAAGAGCAGTTTCGAAGTAAACTACCCAGACTTGGGAGCTGGCCCATCCTGCTGTCCTGTGGGCGTGGCCGAGCTGCTGATGCGTTGGGACCGAAGGCATGGGCCTGGGTACAGATCCTGACTGGTCCTCGACCATCACAGTTGCAGAGCCCAGCACCGCCTCGAGTAGAGAAGAGAGACAGAGGGTGTTCAGCCTGCCAGCCCCTGATTTCCCAGGCAATGGGACCTAACTGAGCCACAGGTACCAGGGAACTCAGAACAAGACTGTTTGTGGCGATGACATCAGCTGGTAACTGTTCTTACTCAAATGTTCCCCATCCGCAGTTCTCAGTAGCTGAGATTTCTGAATCTGATAGGTGTGCTCTTTCAACGACAGGTATTTCACTACAAGGCTAACTTTGATGTATCAGAGTGATCGGTCAGGAGGCCTGGGTTCAAGTCCTATTTCTGCCAGTTAACAGCCCTACAACCAAATCACTCAACTTCACTGAAGCTATTTGATCACCTGTACTACTTGGATAGTAGTACCTACCTCTACTCAGACATCAAAAGGATCAGGTACATGCATGCTCTAGTGAACGGTCCCACAAAGGTAGAATCAACAGCGATGATACCCGTTAGCCATACACAACAAAGGCAAGAGGACCCTGGTTCACTTCCTCGGGTAAACTAACCTTGGCTGACGGAGGATGGGACCACCAGCGCTACGTTTCCTGCTCCACCCAGGGCAGGAGAAGACCCACAAGAATGCCACCGAAATGGAGGGCCAAAAAAACTGTGAAACGAATGGCAACACGGAGGCCTCCCAGGGCGGGGGTCTCTGCGTCCGTCAGGACACTTGATAACAGCGCTAAATCTAACACTTGCCCGTTGAAGGGGAAAAATCAGAAGACTAACAAACGCTCACTCTCACTTTATCCACAGGAGGGGCCCGCTGGGCGTCGAGGCAGCCCACGAGAGAGCTGCCGTCATGGCCACAGACAGATCCACTCACTTTCCTCTGTGAACTGCTCACTCCAGAGCCTAAGTTCCAGCCCTGACTGGTGTGGCTCAGTGGGTTGGGCGTTGTCCCACCCCACTGGGTGGCTGGTTCGATTCCCGATCAGGGATGGTTCGATTCCTGATCGGGGCACATGCCTGGGTTGCAGGTTTGGTCCCCAGTCGGGGCCTATACGATATTTCTCTCTCACATTGATGTTTCGCTCCCTCTCTTTCTCCCTCCGTTCCCCTCTCTCTAAAAAAATAAATGAAATCTAAAAAAAGAAAAAAAGAGTCAAAGTTCCAGGGGTAGAATGTCGCTGTGCTAGGAGGTGTGCCTGTGTGTAGGAAAGTGTGGGGTGAATGCCTGCCTGCCGCCAAGATCACACACAGAAGGGGCATCCCCAAAATGGAAACGGTAGCAAAAGCCCAAACAAACGTGCACTCTGGTCTGATGGCTCGGGTCACGTGGAAATATGGGCCACACAGAACTCAGGCTCCTCCGCAGACCGGGGCTGTTCACCGCCTCTCCCCCACCCCTAGTTAGTAAGACGACAAGCTGACCTGGGCAAGGACACTGGGGAAGGTGGCAAACCCAGACAGGGACAGCATCAATCCACTAACACCCTAGGTAAACAACAGGGAACAGAGTCATCATGGCGGCGGGACTAGAGATGGGACCCATGGTTGGTCACATCTCTCCCTTCTTTGACTCCACTCCCAATTTGGTCACATACGTCCGCTTCTCATGCTTGGCACCGAAATTTCTGTCAGGGGCAAAATCACGCAGAACACAGAAGCACACATACTAGGAAACGCAAACACCGAAGACAGGTTTTTCAAATGTCCTCTCTGCTATTTAAGGGCCTCTGTTGGTATTAAGAATGGCAGCAATGTGCAGAGTATGACCGTATTTCTGACTTTCACTCTGTGGGAACATAGCAGACATCACTGGGGCCTCAGACCACCCATGAGCTTTGTGCCACACATCTCAGTGTTGATCTCTATACATGATGATTTCAACCCACACTCTTCCTCTGCTGAGCAGAAAAACTTAGGAAATAAATGCACAGCTCATGTCTCATCCTTTGTCCCTATTAGAAGTTTTAGTTTAGAAAGAGTATAGTTGATCTGAAAAAGACGCCTTACTAAAAAACATTATACACATGCGCACCACAACCATAATCTAGATGTACAATGCTGTACAGATGTGCAAATTATTGAAAAATGAAATTAACTAAAGCTGAAATTCTTTTTATCTAGCAGTTAATTAGCACAAATTATAAACTGGATTATATTACCCTCTATGGTGTGTGCCTCAGACCATTACCACACTAATAGGAATGATTTCTGAAATATCTTCAACCAATTCTCGCGTGTCAGAGAAAATTTGGCTTTTAAAGACATGTGGTTCCACGGATGAAACCTCGCTCTCCCATTATTTACTCTAGTCAGTGGTTTTTACTCCTTAGAGAAAAAAGAAAACGACTACACACAGAGAGTACTGTTATTACTGTGTTCATTACAACTGTAGATCATGAAGCAAAAAAACCTCTGCAATTTTTCAATTGCTGACATTTCCAAGCCAATTTCTTATATAAGTAAAAAAATGGAAAAGCGACTGAAGCAGATGCTCTATGATCCTCAGAGAAAAAATCAAGTTTCTAATAAAATGGAAACACCCACGCTGGCCTACAGGAATACAAATAATCAATTCCTTACATGTGTATAGGCTCTGCAGAGTACACTTTTTACAGTTTAGAGGGCGCTTGTACACAAGTGACTGATCTCACCTCTCTCGCAACATCCCTCTGAAGCAGGTGTTTGCACTCCATTCTATAGATAACCAGTTGACACTCTGAGAGAAAAAAGATTCTCTGACAAATACTGATGTGGTCCCTGGAGCATTTCTGGGGGCTTCTTGGAGCCCCGAAGCTGTGGATCTTCCTATGGGTTGTTGTACTTTAGTGAATGATTTGGGAAAACAGGTAGTTTGTAGTTGAGGCCTTTGAGGTCAGGGTAACAGAACTCATCGTGAATCCCAGTGAAGGTCACCGGGGGTGACCGCCGCCTTCATCAGTGTGGGAGATTGATTTGTATTTAAAATCTTCATGGTTTCTTGTAAAACAAAATGACAGGCAAAGGGCCACGCCCTCGAGGGGAAGGAGCGAGGCTACCACAGGCGTTGAGCAATCCCCAGGCACAATGTGTTTCTCCAGGTGGAATTCCTTTGTTCTGCAGCAAATGTTTATTGTGTACAAAACTGGGCCATGAGTCCTGCCCTTAAGAAAATCTAGAAAAAAAATTAAGTCATATAAGTGAATGGGGAAAATACCACCTTACATTTTGTATCAGCTCCGTTCCTTCACCCTACGAATTCTCCCATCCCTGAAAATGAAAACGACCGCTGTCTGGCTGGGTATCACTCTCTTGTTACTGACCTTTCTCTCTTCATGCCTCCGCTAAGCATTTTGAAAGCACTGCCCATACCTATTGTCTCCACCTCTTCATCATCATTAAATTTTTCCTGGTGACCCTGCAGTCTGACTTCCATCCCTACGATTGCAAAGAAACTGCCCTCACCCTGGTCACCTGGGCCCACTGCTCTGCAGACCCCATGAACACTGTTCAGTTCAGCGCGTGCCTACTGAGTGAGCCAGGACAGATTCCAACAGGCCATGGAATTTACCGGGAGCGGTGCGGCCTCACCCTGTCCACAAGTGACCAAGTCTTTCCTTTAGAAGCCACAGCTAAAAGTTCTTCAAAGGCTCCTAACAGGGTGTGGCAGTTCTAAACCATGTCAAATTCTTTGGCACTTCCCTCATCAACAGGTAGAGTCTATAGTCCCTACCCCTTCAACTTTGGCCCACCACAGAGACCCCTAGAAGTAACGCCATGAGACTTCCAAGGCTGCCAGGAAGAGCACATCATAGCTTGCCACCTGGTCCTCTTGGGATGATCACTCTTAGAACCCAGCTACTGTGGTCTGAGAAAGCGCAGACACTTCATGGAGAGTCTGACATGAGAAGACCCAAGGCTTCTGGCCCTCAGCCCCAAGAGAACTTCCAGTCTACAGTTTAACTCACCAGCCACATGAGTGGCCATGTGGGAAGAGGGTTCTCTAGCCCCTCCTCCCCCTGCCCTCCCATTCCCCTGATCTTTCCACCCTTCTGGTGAACCACTCGGCAAGCCTTCCATGCCAAGCTCTGCCCAAATTTCCTATTTGTGAATGCAATAAATGACTGTTGCTGTTTTGAACCACTATGGGGAAGGTTTGCTATGCAGTAACGAACAACTGAACTACAAGACTACAGAAGATTCTGGCTTCTATGTAAAAATTCTATAAGAAATACGGTGAGAACTTTCTACTTTTTAAATCCATTATATAAAATACAAAACTGTATTTTAGAGTCAACTGGAAAACTACAAATTTACCAGAATCTGAAAACTATGTTTCAGAAAAAGGTCACAAGCAGTTATTTTCTAACAGATTGCTTAATATTTATTGGGCAATTAATATATGAATACTTTTGGAATCGATTTCTAAACTAACAGAAAATATAATTTTACATCTTTTCTTTCCACATGGCAGCATTAACTGCATTCATAGCCAAGTAAAGCTGTTTTTAAATCCTTATTATCCAGATTATCTACATTATTATAAATTCATCAATTTTTTTCTAATCAAATATGAGTCCCAGGACATTGATTTCTCTACTGTGGGTCTTACCTCACTCTTTCTGCAAAGAAAACATGATATGGGAGCTACTGAAAGTGTGATAAATAGAACTATTCAATAGCAAACAGCTCACATTTCTCCTCACTCAGAATCTGGCTACAGTTTACCAAGATGAAAAAATAGAAACCATATGTAAAACAGCTTTTTCCTTTATAAGCAAAGCCCACTTGTAATAACCTACATGAGATATTCAAATTTGCTTGATCATAATGGAGCTGTTTAAAAATACATGGCTGGAGTTCACATTTGCAGTGTGCAGATGAAAAAATAAAGATACTTTGAATTAATAATTAATATGTGATGGAAATCCAGAAGGGAAGGAGGTGGCGTGTTATGCATACTACCTCATGCTTTTTATCAAGCCCTGGGTCTTGCTGTGGGCTGCTTTGTTCAATGGGTGACTTGGGAAATTAGGAGAGTTTGTTGGTGAGGTATCTGAGAGCGGGGGAAAGGGGCTCCCGGCTCTGCGAAGGTCACTGGGGATGGCCGCACATCCATCAACATGGGAGACTGGTTTTATTAGCTGTATCCTTGGTTTACTGTGAAACAAAATGTGAGGCAAGAGGCCACACACTTGGGTAGAATGAGAGAGGTCTGAGCATGGTGGCAGACGCCCCACAGTGCAGGTGGTGGGTCCCAGCTGTCCCACCAAACCCCCGGGGAGTCCCAGCCCCAGGGTTAGCTGGTCATGCGGAGGGTCCCTCCCTGAATGCCCAGAGTGGGGCGTCACTGCCTCAGACGACACGCCTGCCTCAGCCAGCAGGGGCATTTGTGCGAAAAGGTAAACCACTAACCAGTCTCAACAGGACCAATTAAAAAAAAATTAAGCCATTAATTTACTTTCACCAGAGAATAAAATTTAAGAAAGAAATTCACTAGGGCTGTAAGACCAAACACAGATTCCATAGGTGGCCAGCGGCCTGGCCCACTGAGGACGGCAACCATCGGTCCTGCCAAACCAAGGCCCTAATGATGGCCCAGGCCTGGCCAATGTCTGTCAGGCCTCGGGGGACACCAGCAGCTGACCCGAACAATGGCCTCCCACCGCTGCTTCTCGGCCACGCGACTTTAACTAGTTCGGTGACCCTGTAAAGCCTCGGTTCCTCTGCTGTAGGATGGAGGCGACAATACCTGCCTTTGTGAAGAGCCAAGGCACTAATGCAGAGGTTCCCAAAGCGTGTCCCTGAGCCGGCAGCATCAGGACAACCTGGAAACTGGTGAGATGTGCAAGTTGCCAGGCCCTACTCCACACCAACTGAATCGGGAGCGGGGTGGGAGGCCACGAGGGGAAGAAGCTACCTGCATTTTAACAAGCCCTGTAGGTGACGCTGAGTCACCCTGGGAACCACTGCATAACTATTCTTAAAGCACAGTACGTGGCACATATTAATGGTTCCATAAATGATAATTATCATGGTTACAAATAGCTGAATTCAGCTTACCTCACCCCTTCTCCACAATGCAGATAACACAGTGTTCTACTTACAGCCTATTCAATGTCTGGGATGGTGACAATGGAGATGGTAATAATGATTACAGGGATGATGAAAAATGACAATCTTTGTAAACAGAGTGACTGGAAAGGGGACAGAGTCCAGAAGATGCCCTCATTCGTGGCTGAGAATTTATATGACTAACAGAGAAGTGCTGCTTCTGTAGCTATACAGAACATAAAGGCATGAAAGAACCCTTTCTATACAGAACTTGCCTTTATATTAGTATTCGCTGTCATGGAATTCTTCATCACTCAACCAGAGAGTTTTAGCCCCTTAAAGGGTGGGTTCTGGGAGTTTTGGTCAAGGGCCAGCTGCTGAGCCTTCCCATGGGGTAGGACTCTAACAAAGAGTGCCTGCATCCCGAAGAGCATGCAGCCTCCCCTAAATGTGCCTGAGCTCCCAGAGGGCCAGAGAACAGTCACCCGGCACACAAAGGGCTCTCAGGCACAAGCCTTGGAAGGTCAGAGGAGGCCAACGTTCCAGGGTCTCTACCGCTCTGCGAAAATCGCGCTCTGCTGCCCAGTCAGACCCATTAGGCTGTGGCCTCCGTAGGCACAAGTGAGCCTCCCTCCAACCCTGCCCCAGGCTTGTGCCTGTGGGCTGGTGGTTTGCCTGTTTGCAACTCGATCCCTTCCCTGCCCCTCCGCCCACAGCCCCTACCCCAACAAACTACCTTTCCAGATGCACTTGCCAACTGGCTCCAGCTAGGTTTAGGTGGAAGAGTGAAAGAGAGGAAGAGGAAAGAAGGCAGAGTGTTTGTTCCCCTTACTCTCTCTGCTTCGGATGGTATTTCCAGCAGCGGCTTTGCCTTCCACAGGGTTCCACTCCCACCAGACAGGCCTTCCCGGATGGTCCCAGCTGCTTCTGGGAGCTTCTATGTAGATCTGGCTCTCGGCCTCTGGTAGCAACACCCCACCCCTTTCTCTTTTTTTCCACCAGCCTCCAAGGTGTTAGTGGTTTCCTGCTATTGCTAATCGCTGGGTGACCTCATCATCCCCTATTTGGCTTTCAGATCTTCCAAAACTTTTGTAACTAAGTCCCTGCATCAAAGGTTTTCTACTTGACTGCTTGGGCCATGACTAACGCAGCCTCCTCTCACATCTTCAGTCTCGATCATGCCTTACCTCATGCTTGCCTGAGTCAGCTCCCTATCCAACACTTTCCCTGGGGCTGTCTTCCCCAGTGGGAAGCTCTCCCCTCACTTAGGTCTTCAGTTCTTACCTGTCTGTGATCGCCAGTTTTGATACCAGTCCATGAAACTGTGCCCTGATGCCAGCCCCAGCCCTGATCACCCAGGCTTGACACCCATCTAACTCCAGCTCCACTGGGGACTGGCCAGTCTTGACTGACATTTGCCACCTGCCTCTCCTTGAACTCAGTAGGTTAATATGCACATTGAGGTTCCCAGTAAGTTTTACACTGTAAACTTTTTCCAGGAACATCCATATACCATTTATGAGTAAGTCAATCATACAAAAGTAAATTTTGTGATTTGAAATAAATATCCAACTGGCTCCCGAACTCACCTTATATTTTCACAACCTTCCACTTCCTTTTGGCTGTAAAGATATCACAGATGAACCAACTAGAGTCAGAACACACTGTTCCAGAAAATGATGATGCTATTGGCAACTGCCCACATAAGTGCAGTAAATACAGTATTAACGACTATACTTGTTTGATGCTACTTGTTTTGCAGAGAGAGCTGGCCCCACTTCAAGTCTTGCATTCCAAAAGAAATCATTGAATTATCTTTAAAGGCCAAGCTTAGAAAGCTCATCTCTCTTCATCAATTTTTCAAAAAGTTAAAAAAACAAAACAGAGACAACTGCATGTAATGAAGGTTGTGGTGTTGATGATTTGGAATTGGAGCCAGGACTGGCAAACGCAGCAACTTCCCTGGGCAGACAGGCACTATATTTATACATGTTGCATTCTGAACTACAGATTTTGGAAAGAATGTCCATGAGAGCTTCTAGAATGGGAAAGGGGATGG